CTCCCACATCACACTCACAACCCCGAAATAGTATGTTCCAGGCAAAGAACGGTGCTATAGCCATTTAGCTGCCCATTCTATTCAACCAAGGTGAGATTTACTAATCCTATCCCATGATTCAGAAAGGCGTCAATTTTCAAGGCCTGAAGACACCACTGTGATCATCCAACAGAACCTCATGAATACACAGGCCATTGAATTTCACCCAGTTCTTGCCGTTAGCTCCTGAGCACAAACCTACAATAGACAGGCTCTTGCAAACACTATCTTCTTAGGCCCTTTTCTGCCACTTACTGATAACCCAGAGGGAACTGGTGGGAATGGGGGATAGCCTACCCCTAAGAAACTTAGGCCAGAATGTTCAAAAGTAGGTCTTGATTTTGAGGGACGCCATTTGGGGGTAATCAATTTGAGACATCTGAAAGGAGGCTGATTTTCCAAGGGGCCGGGCCTTGACACTCCCCTATGAAGCCACCAGGAGGCAGCATTGCCATTACTCTGCATACACAATAATGGGGGTGGTGGTTATTTACTGAGCACTGCTAATGTGCTCAGCACTGTACAGACACAGCGGAAAACACAGAGCTTACAGTCTAAATCAAACACAGGGCAGCACACAGCACTGCCTACGAAGCAGCCCATGGGTTGCTTTGCTGCCCTGTGTTTGATGTAGACTGTAAACTCTGTGTTTTCCGCTGTGCCCGTCCAGTGCTGAGCACGCTAGCGGTGCTCAATAAATAACCACCATCCCCATTATTGTGTCTGCAGAGTAATGACAATGCTGCCTCCTGGTGACTTCACAGGGGAATGGATGGGCCAAACTGTCGGAGGGGCCGGAGTTACATCGGAATGATCTCCTCCTTCCAGCCAAGAGGCATTGCAGCATGGAAGAGAGAAACCATATAAAGAAATAGCTTCTTCTGGCCTCTGCCTTCAAAGCCCTCCACCATTGAGCCCCACCCTAACTTTCAAATCTAGGGCCAGCTCCTCACCACATTGCGCCATTGCCTTCTAACGCAACACTCACCATCTGGGAATCTGATTTCTTAGGACAACGCTGACCCCTCCCTCCCCAATCGCTCTGCCAACTCCAGCCTTGATCGCCCACTCACCTGATTTCCTCACAGACGCCCCCATGCTTTCTCTCATGCTTCCCTCCACACATGGAAACGAACGCGTCGCTGGCCACAATTTGCAAAGCCTCCCCCTTACTCTCTCTTCAATCCCTCCTTAAAACCCACCTCTGCCAGGATGCCTTGGCAAAGCCAGTGACTAGTTGTGGCTACTGGGACCCCTAGGAGTCCTGCCATAGGCAGACGCACCTCTCTCTGCTGTTACTTTGCTCTCCCAGCCCTGTTCATTCATCTGCAAGCTATTATCAGAATTGGAGTCTGCAAGTTCTCTGGGGCAGTGACTGCATATTTAGGGCCATGCTAAGCAGGGCCCTGATCCTTGACGGGAGTCGTTCGGGCATACAGTAAACAAACATCAAGGCAGAATGGCTACACATCAACCTGTTTGTGTGGCTCCCGATTTCACAAAGGTTCCTAGGTGCTGGAACTGAAGTGGTTTCCATCATATGCAGGGTTTACAGTTTGGTTCAGTGGCTCTTGGCACCCCCACGACACAAATTGTTCCAGAGCCCCTGCAGAGGCTTGGCATATGCACTAAACACCCTGCAGGAGCATGGTAGATTTCAAGATTCCTCTGGACGGACGGACACACACCCCCTCCCAGGAGAGAGAATGACAGATCCCGATGAACCTGCGCATCAGTATGTGCCAACGGGAGGCCAGAGGAGGAGCCATAACGTGCTGACAACAACTGCCCATAGCAGTTACCCGTGATGTAACCCCACTGAAGCCCCCTGAGTTACACCCAGGGTGGACTTGGCCCCATGTGATTGCTCGCCCAGATAGCACAGGCCCTGGCTGCTGCTGCAAGTTGCCATGGCAACCCCATTAGGCCTTTCTGCAGCCAGCAGCAGCATTGCACAGAGGTGCCCAGCGCACAGCCGCTGGTTGCTGTGCTTGGGCCGTGCACACAGGAGCCTGCGTGGCAGCTGCCAGCCTACAGGAAAGGCTTTTGGGTGTTGAAACGGGGGCGGTGTGGCCACATTGACATCCCAGTCTCCCAGGCTTCCCTTGAGGCACTGTGCATATAGCATTTCCAGCACAATGCACTGGGCATGCTCACCACGTGCACGACACAGATCCAGCCTCCCCCAGCCGCTGGCACACACATTCCACAGCTCCAAGTGCATCACCTGCATAGTAACACATCTTTACAAAGGCACCGCTGAGCAACCTCAGCGGCCGAACCATTGTAACAAGCAGGACTTACCCCGGCGCTTCCTTTTCAGCACCAGATGGGCCAGAACTCCACTAATGAGTGCTGAGGGGCCACACTGTGTCCCCACATAGCAGGCATCTCCCCAGACCTCAAGGATTAGGGATTGCCAGTCACATTCATCCCAACTCCATCATCAAAGAACGCTGCAACCAGTGTCAAATCTACAGGAGTGTATTCTTCTGCCCACCAACCCCCCCACCCATTCCTTTCCCCCTACATGGCTTCAGCAGCTGGGCTGGATGGAGGAGTTTTGCATGCAAGAAATGGATCTCCTGGGAGTGGAGAGAAAGATTGTAATGAAAAGGACACAGCCACAGCCAAGCTGGATCAATATACTAATTCTGCATGCAGCATGTGTGTGGCCATATATTTTCTAGACTGGGGAAGGCTATTAAAGAGGATAAAGAACTCTAGAGTGGCAGACAAAGCATATGCAAAAATGTACGTCCATGCACCTCTGTTTTGTTAGGTGATAGATACATGAGGAGGGGCAATACACACAATGCTGGAGCATCGCTGGACAGGTGAACTTAGCATACGGAAAGGGAGCTGTGGGTGGCTGCTTGGACACAGGTGTCAGAAAGATGATGCCACTGTTTTGCAGGCTGGGTGTATTTTGCATGCAGGAGGCAAGGTGTAAGTGGGAGCATGTGATAAAGCTGATGCTGAAGTTTTGATGGATGGGTGAGTTTTGCAGGCAGGAGGCAAGGGGCACGTAGATGTCTGGAGTCTGATAACCTGTAATAAAGATGATACCATAGTTGTACTGGGTGGGTGAGTGAGTCTTATACAGGAGGTGATGGGAATGGGGCAGTCTGGAGGGGTTTCATAAAGCGAATGAAACAGATTACATGGACAGGCAAATTCCGCCTGGCATGCAGGAAGCAAAGCGTAAGCGGTTGCATTAGCATGGAAGGAAGCACATATATGATATACAAAGCCAAGGCCTAATTCAAATCTCCCACCAGCATAAATTAGGATCAAATCCATTGGAGTCAATGGAGATACAGGTTATACACCAGTGTATAAATAAGACCAGCATTAGGCCCCTAGAAATCAATAGATATTGACAGATGAATTCTGCTTGTAGTAGATAAGGCACATAGAACTCTTTGGCCAGAGCATGGATATGGAGTAGAGAGCATGCGGCCGTGTGGATGGATATGGGAGTCTTGCATGAGGGCTGCGCATGTGCATACACAGTATTTGGATGCAAAGAGGACACAGGGACAAAAGCCTTGATGGGAAATGAGGTGCCTGTGGATACTTTTCCACTGTGTTACAAGAGGAATGAAGCTGGTTAGCTGCATATATAATAGAAACCACTCTAACCTGGATGTAACTACCTGGAGGAAGAGGAGTGTTATTCAGAGGGCACATGAGCCTGCATGTTACGATGTGGAGGACTAGAAGTGTGGGTGCAAATTTTGGCTGGATTAATATGAATGACACGTGCAAGAGGTCACATGGATGTGGCCATTTGGGGGTGCAGGCTGGGTGCATGGCTGTCCATGTGGGGCTGTAGGATGCATGGCTGCTGGATACAAGAGGAGCAGTGCACGCGGCTGGGGGGTGCAGACTGCTGGCCGGGGCACATGGCTGCTTCGTGCAGAAAAGGCCATGCATGGGGCCTTCTGGAGGCACAGGATGCATGGAGGCTGTGCATGTGGCTCTTTGGACAGCAGGCAGCACCCCCAGACAGGGTGCATGGCTGCTGCGTTCATGAGAGGCCATGCATGTGGCCCTCTGGGGGTGCAGGGCGCATGGCTGCTGCAGGCACGAGGGGCCCTGCCTGTCACTATCTGGGGGTGCAGGGCACATGGCTGCTGCAGGCACAAGGGGCCCTGCGTGTCACTATCGGGGGTGCAGGGCGCGTGGCTGCTGCAGGCGGGAGGGGCCCTGCCTGTCACTATCGGGGGGGTGCAGGGCCCATGGCTGCACCAGGCAGGAGGGGCCCTGCCTGTCACTATCGGGGGGGGTGCAGGGCGCGTGGCTGCTGCAGGCGGGAGGGGCCCAGCCTGTCACTATCGGGGGGGTGCAGGGCGCGTGGCTGCTGCAGGCGGGAGGGGCCCAGCCTGTCACTATCGGGGGGGGTGCAGGGCCCGTGGCTGCTGCAGGCGGGAGGGGCCCAGCCTGTCACTATCGGGGGGGTGCAGGGCCCGTGGCTGCTGCAGGCGGGAGGGGCCCAGCCTGTCACTATCGGGGGGGGGGTGCAGGGTCCCTGGCTGCTGCAGGCGGGAGGGGCCCTGCCTGTCACTATCGGGGGGGTGCAGGGCCCATGGCTGCACCAGGCAGGAGGGGCCCTGCCTGTCACTATGGGGGGGGGGGTGCAGGGCGCGTGGCTGCTGCAGGCGGGAGGGGCCCAGCCTGTCACTAACGGGGGGGTGCAGGACGCGTGGCTGCTGCAGGCGGGAGGGGCCCTGCCTGTCACTATCGGGGGGAGGGGTACAGGGTCCGTGGCTGCAGCAAGGCGGGAGGGGCCCAGCCTGTCACTATCGGGGGGGGTGCAGGGCCCGTGGCTGCTGCAGGCGGGAGGGGCCCAGCCTGTCACTATCGGGGGGGGGGGTGCAGGGCCCGTGGCTGCTGCAGGCGGGAGGGGCCCAGCCTGTCACTATCGGGGGGGGGGCGCTGGCCGCCCCAGGACTCACCCAGCACAAAGTAGGGCAGCTCGGTGTTCTCCAGATCATCCACCACCACCATCTCCCCGGGGAAGTCGTTGCGCACCGAGAAGAGCAGCTTGGGCTCCGAGGCCGAGGGGCTGTGCATGATGCTCAGGTCGTTCTCCCGCAGGAAGGGCAGCGCCGACACCGTGATGCTCTTGAGCTTGCACTCCAGCTCCTTGGACGGGTCCCCGTCCGCCTCCGCGGGCCCGGCGGCGGCAGCCTGTGGGAGCCAGCAGCAGCAGCAGGCAAGCAGGGCGCAGAGCCGGGCTAAAGCCATCTTGAGCCCGATCCGCCTTCCCTCCCTTCCCACCGCTGAGAGCGGGCGCGCGGGGGGAAGAGCCCTGCTCGGCGGGGCCGCGATGCAGCTTGCAGGGCAAGGCTCCGGCTCGGATGCACCCCCCGCCGCTGGGTTCCTTTGTTCGCAGGCTGCAGGCACGGGGAGGAGTGCGGTGGATTTCACAGAAGCAGCTGTGCCTCCGAGCCGGCTGCCAGCGCTGCTGCCTTTCTCCTCCTGTGCATCCTCTCCCCGGCGCTCGCTCACGCGCTGCTATCCACCTGCTTTGCAATGTCGGCGGTTGCTTTCAGTTTTTCCCCCCATTACACTGTGCAAATGCAAAGATCTGACCCCCACCACTGCACTCTCCAGAGGGGGCAACCGAGCAGCGCCTTAAAGGACAGCCTCAGAGCTGAGAGCGGAGGCTTTTGATCCTGGATTATCATCTCCAGTGCAAAAATTTGCAGCGTGTCCTGTTCATACCTCTGCTTTTCTCTCACCCTCTCCTAATTTGCTAGATCACCTGCACACCACCCCCCCAAAAGTACAGCTCCAGATTGGTTTCTGGTTGAGGGGGTGCAAAAAGAATGTTTGCAACTATTATAAATGCAGTGGCAGTTTCCCTGAAGCGGGGCAGGAGACTGGCAGAGTGCACGCCAAACGTGGGAAGTGTCTGCCCATCAGCCCATCTCGAGATCATTACAGTTCACCTCTCAAAAGGAATATTGCCAGCTGTCTTACACTCCTGCAACCGCTTTGCAATCAGCAGAGTCGGGCAGGGTAATGCAGGGTTTGGCTCAACATGGTGTGAAAGTATCATTTGGGTGAAATAAATCAAGCCTAGCCACGCCAAGGGTAGAATGCCATAATAAACTGTTAACTAATCTTTACAAACGCTCTGTGAAGCATTTTGGGACCGATCCAACTCCCACTAAAATCAATGGACAGATTCCCATTCCCTTCAATGGAAACTGGAGCTGGCCCTCATTTCCTCTAGGGCTTGGGGTGCTAACTCTATTTTAGCAATCAGCTGTTAAAAGAATACACTTAAGCAAGGGATATTTTTGGTATGCAACTTTGTTTTGTAGTTTGTGTATTCAACCTACAGGCATCCAAATAGGTATTCCCTCATGCCTTAACTAATCACCATACCTCTCAAAGTCAGCAGTCCCTCATTACATCCTTATGAATCAGGGTAACATTTTCAAAAGCACCTCAGTGACTAAGGAGCCTAAAACTCGTTTTCAAAAGTGACTTCTGCCCAGATCCTCAAAGGTATTTAAGGCACCTAACTGCCATCAATTTCAAGAAGTGAGACATCTAAACACTTTTGAGGACCTGGGCCATTGGCTATTAGGGCCAGATTTTTAAAAGTATGTAGGCACCTTAAAATAGGCATCTAGTGAGATTTTCAGAGACACCTAAGCCAGTTAGGCACCTTATTATGCAGGAGGTCGGAGTAGATGATCACAGTGGTCCCTTCTGGCCTTGGAATCTATGGAAGTTAGGAGCCTAAATACCTCTGAGGACCTGAGCCTAGGTCACTTTTGAAAATGGGGCTTAGCTTCTATGTTACTTAGGAGCATTTGAAACTGTTACCCCCAGGGGTTCTCAAACTTTTGTACTCGTGTCCCCTTTCACATAGCAATCCTCTGAGTACGACCCCCCCCTTATAAAAGTAAAAATATTTTTAATATATTTAACACCATTATAAATGCTGGGGGCAAAGAGGGGTTTGCAGTGGAGGCTGACAGCTCACGACCCCCCATGTCGTAACCTCCCAACTCACTGAGTGGTCCCTACCCCCAGTTTGAGAACCCCTGCCCTAAACGTTCCTCCGTTCCTCCGTTCCACACAGATCAGATCTGGTGGCCATTATCCTCTGCTTGTAAACGATTTACATCACAAACAAAGAATCACAAAAGGAAGTTACTGGCAATGCTATGTTGGCACATTTCTTTATATGGGATGGGGGGGCATAGTGTAAAGGGATACTGCCACTTCGAAGTCCAGTCAGTTTTTAAAAATGAGTTCACAGTAGTTTCAGAGGGTTCACCTGCTTCCAAGTCTCCAACACTGGTGGTTTAACAACCAGATGTTCTCTTGTTAACCATTTGTTCTCTCCCTGGAGCTGTGTGGAAGACAGTAAGGAAATGATAACTAACAATAGAGGGGGAATAGTGAAACTGACCCTCAGATTTCCCACCGTTGCTAAAACTGGCTAAGCAATGCAGTATACCCAGGCATGAAGCCTTCATCGCTTCGGAAACTCCAGATAGTACCAATCGCTGCCGCCCATCTCCTCAGCGGCACCAGCTATTCAAACCTGTCCTCTGCTCTCTACAGAGAATCTATCTCTATCCCAGAAAATAGTGAGTCAAGCTCAAGGTCTTAGTGGTTAATTTTTAATTATGTGTATTACTGTAGGATGTCAGAGCCTCGTGGCCCAGGACCTCATTGTGCTAGGTGCTGTACAAACAGAACAAAAAGACAGTCCCTGCCTCCAAAGAACTCACAGTCTAGGTACCTTATCTTTCAGGTGTTCAGTGGCTTGGGCCCATCATATCTAAAAGAGCCTAAAGCTCTGGGGTGAAGACAGCTCCACTCCTCTGACACCAGGGAACTCTAAGGTAAAGCTCAGCTGTGCAGGAGACAGATCTTTCTTGGGGGCTGGTCTGAGACCCTGGAAGGAATGTCCCCAGCAGTTATGGACCATCACAGACCTCCTCACCATCTGCTCCGAGTGCAAGTCTCACTTCTTCAACCTGCCTTCTCCAGTATAAACACAGAGCAGTCAGTGTACGCTTAAAAAGAATGAACCACACATGACAGATGTTAGTCCTGGCGCTTCATGCCCAGCTGGAAGGTGCTCAGATACAATGGTGGTGAACAGTGCTTAATTTGAAATGAAAGAGGTGCTGGGGCTTAAGCAGTTAGGTGCCAGACTCAAGCAATTTTATTACTTTCATAACTGATGCAGCAAGCCCAGAGGTGCCAGGGCTCAGCCCTGGCTCAAATTAAGCATTGGTGATGAGGGCAGTATGACAAGAGAAGAGAAAGCTCTGCCCTCGCATAGATTGGGCTCCAAAAAGTTTGCTAGTGTTTCAAAACTTTGCCATCTAATCCTGCTCAGAGCAGATCTACCCAGCATGATGCTTAAAACACTTGGAGCTGCCAATGCCTGCTCTTAACTAGTTTTCCCATGGCTGCTATCAACAGTGGAGCTAAACTTGCAGTAGCAAAGGTGGTAACTTTAGGGAAAAGATCCCAGACAATGCCAAACTTCTGCCAAGCACACAAAGTGAACACACTGAATATAACATTCTTCTTTAATCTTTTTCATTATTTATTATAATCCTACCCAGAACCATACAGCAGCAGGGAAAAGATTTCCAGAGAGAAATGTGATGTTAGGCACTATCAACCTAATAAACCTGGGCTCAAAGGCAAACCTCACATTGCCTTCAGTGGGACTAGCATTTCACCCCCACATCTCGGTCTGAAATGGATTGATATCAGAGCTGGTCACAGGTTTTGGTTTTAATTTTGAAGACATTTCAAAATAATAATAAAAAAATAAACAGGGACATTGCTGAGAATTTTTTGCAACATTCCCTCACCCTTTGTTTTTCAACTGGCTATAAAGCTGGTCAGTTATTTTTTTAATTTTTCAAAATTTTGAATTTAGAAAAAAGAGGAAACATTTTGGAAAAATTGTTGTGATTTTTCTCCCTTTTTTTGGAACTAGCTCTAGTAGAAACAACATCTGTGCTGACTAGAGGGGGGGGGGATTCAATTTTTTTCAATTTCTTATTGTACATTTGACTGTGTTTTGTACCTAGTCACCTTCCCTGTTTCCCCTCTATATGCCATTACGTCTCGATCCTGCAAACTCTTACACATGTGCATAACATGAACCAGGTGAGTGGTCCCATCCCATTGACTGGAATGTAAATGAAGTAAGGTCCGGTTTACACTTCAAAGTTGTAACTATGTTGGCTAGAGCTGTGATTTGATTTTTTTTTTATAGCAAAATATACAAGCCCTTGTGTAGAGGCATTTATTCTGGTATAAAGGCACCTTATGCCCGTAAGGTTATTCCGTTTCCCACATGGGACTAGAATGCCAATATAAAGCAAGTTTATACTGATGTAACTGCATCCACACCAGGGGGTTCCTATCACTTTAACTGTACTGGTAAAGTTAAAATAGTACCACTTTCTAGTGTAGACAAGGCCTAAGTACATGACTGCTTGTAGGATCGAGACCAAAGATTCCTCCATTGTTTGTAAGGTTCTTCTGCACACCAAGAGGGAACAGAAAATCATTTTTTAAAAAGAGGAATGTGATTCTAAAACCACAAAAATTGGCAGGTGGCTGAGGGGGACATGTGGCCTATGAAATTGCATTTAACTTACATTTTAAAATGGATTAAATTTCAAGTTGGTGGCATCCCTTTAATATGTAACAACACAGCTAAAGACTAGAGCAGTACCCTTTGTATAATGACATGAATAATAAATACAAATGAATAAAACAATGAACATAACAATAAATCCTGCATCCGTTATGCCTGTGTAACTTCCAGTGCTGACTGCTAGAAACTTTAGACGTTTGGCATCTGCCTTGCCAACCTCATTAATCATTTAAGTGAAATCAACGGTATATTTTTACAAGGATTAATTTTTTAAACAATAACCAAAACAAGGCTTTGCATCTGTAACTTTGCATCTGTAACACAACCATAATTGGGTGGGGTTGAAGAACTGTAACTGGGAAAATTTAGCCTATTCTCTTAATCATAGATTTCAAGGAAAGCCAGGACCACTGTGATCATCTAGTATGGCCTCCTGTATAACACAGGCCAGAGAACTTCCCCAAAATGGTTCCTAGAGCAGGTCTTGTAGAAACGCATCCTATCTTGATTTAAAAATTGTCAGCGATGGAGAAACCACCACCACAGCCCTTGGTAAATTGTTCCGATGGTTAATTAGCCGCACTCTTAAAATGTTACACCTTTGTTCCAGGTGGGATTTTTCAGTGATGTTGTTGATTGCTTTTCTTTGAGGTGGCCTATTTATTTATGAGGGGGCTAGGAAGTTAGTGTGGGTCACAAAGGGGTAAATGAGAGCACAGTGCGGCCCTATGATATAGAAGGAGCCAGATCCTCAGCAGGCATAAATTGTCAGAGCTCCCCAGAGAGAAATTTACCCCGGCTGGATCTATGACAATTTCCCCCCAGCTGAGGATCTGCCCCCATGAGATCCAGACCAATTATGTTTAAGTACTGACAAGAGCAAGCAAGTTCGGTTCGTTCATTGCAACAGGAGAATTATGTGTACAGTTCTGGTCGCCCATGTTTAAGAAAGATGAATTCAAACTGGAACAGGTGCAGAGAAGGGCTACTAGGATGATCCAAGGAATGGAAAACCTGCCTTATGAGAGGCGACTCAAAGAGCTTGGCTAGTTTAGCCTAATCAAAAGAAGGCTGAGGAGAGAGATGATTGCTCTCTATAAATACGTCAGAGGGACAAATACCAGGGAGG